TCAACAAATGTAAAGGCAACCGAACAACAAATATTTGCCAGTGAGGGATATGGTGTGAAGCTTTTCCAGACGCGTGGTGTTGACAGCAAATCATGTCTTCTCTTTGAGTGCATTTAAGATGTTTATTTGGATTGCAGGATGATGACAGCAAAACAAGAGCCGGGTGTTTAACTGATATCTAAACAACTAACTGTGATAAAGAAATAAACCGAAATTAACTCAAAACAAACAGAAAATACAGAAAATAAGCGAAAACACGCACGGTTGAAAAACTGTGTGGCTTCCCTCTGGTGATTCCCAATCCCTAATGCTGTGCACATGTGTCCTCTCCAAATAATAGGCTGTATCCTGAAATTGGCTGAGTCCCCGCCTATGCCCAGGTCAATTCAGTAGTATCACAGCACCTTCATATACAAATATTAAAATACATCCAATTGGCTACAACACTGACTATTATAACATTAGCATAAAGAAAGCTTACTGAAATATCTGCCACAACATAAGTAACCGGATCAGAGTAACATTAAGTACAGTCCGTGGCATATCACATCATAATGTATCATATATTTCCTTATCTGAGCCGTTTCTGGCCGTGCAACACTCACAGTGTCACATAGGCCTACTGTATGCAGAAGTATTATTTTAAGCAACACATTAAGTTGACGAAACACTCGAGTCAAATGTAATTAAAGTCAGATCCACTCGTGTTTTAGACGGGGCAGTGATATCATAAACCTGTTAATGTACGCATTCGAACACTTTTTCTTTTACCTGCTGTATTCACCTTGCAGGTGCAGCTATGTGGCTTATATCCTGGATAAAGTGTTTAAGTCATGGATGTTTAAAGTTTAACTTCTTCATGTCTAATATTATAGTTGACTTTTCATTCAGGAAGTATGACGCTGTGCTGTCAGTACGCTTGTCCATGTTTGTGATTGGTCGAATGCTCCAAATACCACCCCTCTCATGTGAACGCGCACCTAACTAGATAGGACACGGCTGGCTTGAGCGATCCACTTGATAACCCGCGTCGTAGTAAAGTTTAGCGAGAGTGCGTATGTTTTGGATTAGGCCAACCGGCTAACTCAAACATATCCAGGTTAGGTTGAACCAGCTTCGAAGTACAGGTCTCAGGTCTGTTTTATGTTTTTATGTTGGTATGTGGTCACTACATTCATGTTTCTGTGGTCTTCATTTGAACTTTTGTTCTTTCTTGTGAAGCACTTTGTGAATTCTATTTCTGTGAAAGGTGCTATACAAAATAAACGTATTATTATTATTAAATATCGTGGCCAAGAGGGAGCATGTTAATAGAAAAGAAAGGCACAAATGGACAAACTAACACTGTGAACAACACAATACAGTATAATGCAACCCAGTACTGAAATCTAAAACATCATTAAGTTAATATCCAAAGCCGTTTAAAGAGTCGCAACAGAAATGTGTTTATACATAGTGACAGAGAGGAGGGTGTTTGTTCTGTCTCACCTTTGAAGCATCAGACATGGAGCTGGATGAGTAGTTAGATGCACATGGACAGGATGGACACTGCGGCGGGACACCTAACTGAGACATAGAGGCGAGAAAGCAGTGGTCAGTTTTAATTGTGCTTATTAAAGATTCATGGAAAACTGGCTTAGTGCTGACTGCAAGATAATCACATTTAGTCACTGTGAGGGCTGTAGTTTGACTTAGCAAAAAGTTTCCCACTTCTAACTGATGTTACTGCAACTTAACAGCAACATTCCTAGCACACCAACATGAAGCTGAACTGACACTAGATTCACATTTAGAGTGCAAGTTACATGAATTTGAGTCCATTTCTGACATTTGTAAGGTTTAAAAAAAAAAAAAAATGGCAGTATTACCAGAAAGTGGACATATTTGTACTTGGTGGCCTGATTTCGATTAATTTTGGTGCGATTTGGGAGATTCTCTGGATCATTTGGATTGGACAGTCTGCCTATTTATTTGAAAACAAAAATTGTCCACAGTAGAGGTACTCCTTTTCATCTTGTGCTCTCTATATCCAATGGTCACAACACTCCTCATGGTAGGTTAAATCAGCCCATGGAGTACACATTTCAAAATACACACTTTCTGGTTAAAACAAAAAAAAATGTATCCTGAAAATGTCAGAAATTGACTGAGCAGGCCCAAAACCACTCTAAAACTGGCCAATCGGCTAGGCCATTTTTTAACTATTGTCCCCTTACGGCCCGTCCACACACAGGCATGAAAAAAATCTTTCAAAGCTTCGCCCATTCACTTGAATGGGGTGACATAGAAGATTTTTAATCTTCCCCGAAGTGCATTGTGGGGAGCATGGCATGGCTTTGCAAGCATCGTGAGCATCAAAAGTTGAGCAATGTTCAACTTTTGATGCTCCCAATGCTTTCGAAGCTGGCATCAGCCAATCAAATCCCGTTTATGCAAATCCCGCCAGTACAAGCGCTAGCCAATCAAACCGCGTGCAAGCTGGGAGAGCCAGACCGCAGTTCATTTCCTCATATTCCAAACGAGAAATTACGGTAGCAAATCACCCGGTTCTTTACGACCAGAACTATTTACCGGGATACAAACCGGAGGAACCAGGCATGGAGGGAGGTGGCAGAGACAGTGGGTGAAACTGGTAGGTTTTCGCCTGTTTGGGGAGTTTATATCCAGTTTACTTCGTTTTAACATTGCTATTGCTTTGTATGTCGGGGGCGGGAGATTCATGTGATTGGTTGTTGGTCGCAAAAAATCGCCAAGCTTCAGACACGCCCAGCATCAAGATTTTTTTCATGCCTGTGTGTGGACGGGCCGTTAGGCTATAATGCCATTAGTGCTAATTAACACAATTTATGCTGATTGTGCCAATTCCCCAACATATGCAAGTTACTATCCAGCAGTTTCTATGTGCTGCCCGTACAATACATTTCTAACATAAAACGTTGGGGTACTCAACATCTCCGGTTCACTATGCTGGCAACTAGACTACTTCCTCAGATTAGCATAGATGTTACATCTTCACAATTGTAACGTGAAGATGCCTGATTAGATTAACACAATAGCAGAAACATGAAATTCATAGGCTCCCTTCTAAATTGAGATGGAATAAAAATAAAATGTCACAGCATGTACACTACCTGTATATTGTTCAGATCTACTTTAGTTTCCACTAACAGTAATCTGCTCATCAGATTTTCCCAGCTCCCTCTGGATATCGTGATGACCTGTTCTTCATCCTGAAAGAACATGGAAAAGGTGGATGCAACAGTAATGTTGTATTACTGTGCTGTCTGTCCTGTAAAGGAAACATATACAACAAAGGGATGAATATGTAACAGAAATAGACCTTGTCTGTGTTTCTGTGTTGGTCACGTTGCTCCATGCGTTGCTCCATGCGTTGCTCCATGTGTTGCTCCATGCGTTCCTCCATGCGTTCCTCCAGCACACTGAGCCGGTCCAGCACACAGACCACACTCCCTAGGTGAGCTTCCAGTGCGGACAGCCTCCCCTCTACTTCTGAAGACTGAAAGACAAAGATAACAGTTACATTACATTTCATGTTGCATGTGTTAGCAAAAGACAAATGCGGTTGTTTAATAGATATTTCTTTAATTGAGTAAATCAAAATATACAGATAAACTCTATATATATTTTTTAGGGGATAAAAAGAAAGTTTCTATTTGCAAATGGCTGTTAACGCCTTCGACAAGCTCTAGCTAAGTCTTCACACTGCTTCAGCAGATGCTTACATAGAGGTGATCGTTGTCCACACCCTGTCCTGCCAGCTCTCCCTCTCTAGGAGAAGTGGACGAGTGCACTTCATTATGAGAAATATGAGTCACAATATGGGAGGAGAATGCTTCTGCAGTGGAGGAGTTTGTGGGGGAAATGGAGCAGTTTCCCATGTGATTCTCAACCACTGGCTTCTTGGACATCTGAAACACATCAAAACCCAAAGGCATTCAACTAAAGAGAGATTCCCTTAAGTAAACCCCTAATCATCACAGTTTCCTTAGCAGCAAGTATCAAATACTTCTATTTATAAGTGCATGTCACTAATATTAGTATATTAGAGGGTTTAAAGGTTGTGTCCAATGCAAGTTACCATCTGAAATGATATGGCTTCTTGGTACAAAAACACAATCTGAAGAGCACATTGAAGGCCCTCATATCTGTCTCCATACTGTTTAAAGTTGTTTTGTATTACGTCATCTTTTGCCTTAGGTATCTGTTTTCTAAAGAAAGCCAGCTGGAGCACAACTCTTTAAAGTGTGTTATTCAATCACACTGAATATGCACAGCTGTTTGTTTTATGGGTAAACCTGAAGTGGCCACCTTCCGGGCGGAGCGCTAAACTGTACTTCATCGCATGACCACAGGAAGCTGGCGCTAATGGAAGTCTGTGTCAATGCCCACATTTAAAGCAAAACTTACAAATGTTACAGCCCGGTATAAAAGCATTGTGGGTCTTTATGGGTCATTTCTCCATGCATGGCAACTGTTCAGGGGATACATTTTGAATTAACTCAGTCATTTGAATTGTATTACGGCTTACAGTTGCGCATTATTAGGGGTGTGGCCACGTTGAGTGACAGTTAGGTGCAAGATATGTTGAAGCCAACAATAATCAATAGTTTACAGTCCTTTGTATTTTTAGTGGAGATCTCAAGGTTCAAGGTTTTATTTGTCATACGAACATAGCTAGTGTAGTTATGACGATGAAAATGTTAGGTCACTGGCTCCTCCAACAGTGCAACATAATAAAAAAGATCAACATAAAAATATAGTGCAGGTAAATAGTAAATACAAAAATAAAAATAGTTTAAAAAGTGAAAGAGTGAAATAGTGCACTAAGAGTCTAAATCCAAGTTATTGGAATATGATATCTTACCACTATGCTTACAGTGTCTGCATCAGTCAGGGTCGGATGGGCTTCTCCTCTGTCTTCCTTGTGTGAGGGAGGACATCTGACTCTCTGCTGCAACTGGAAATGTTTAACGGGTCTCTACATTTGGAAAAGTCATGTTTTCTCATATTCAAACAAAATAACTAATTTATTTTTGAAAAGGCCATTACATGCCATTACATTACATGTCACTTGTTAGACGCTTCTATCCAAAGCGACTTACATACTCAATACTGTGGGCAATCCCCACAGGAGCAATTTGGGCTGAAGTGTCTCAGAGACACAACGACATGCTGACTGCAGTGGGGTTTGAACCTTGATCCGAACACCAACGCACAACCCACTGCACCACACGCCTCCCATTCATGAGTACTTTTAAGATTGGAATACTGCTCTGGAAGAATAAAGAGACCACTGCAGCAATATCAGTTTCTCTGGATTTACTATTTATAGGTTTGAGTAACATTTAAAAAAATATATAACTACTGACAACATGTATCTGTGTTGGAATGTAACAGACACTGGATTGGAATGGCTGCCATACATGTAGAGAATGAGATTTAAGACAAATGTGGAGGGGTCTCTCAATTTTTTTCAGAGCTGTATTAAGTACATTTAGCCTTTTTTTTTTACACACTGCATCTGGTACAAACAGATGTTATCTGTGAGAGTAAAAAGTAGTAATTGAAAGGTTCTGTACCTTCTTTAGTAGGTTGTGTTTCTGCAGGACCAAGTTAATGATGTCACAGATCACAGAGATCTTCCTCACAGAGAACCCCCACTGGAGAAACTGCTGCTTGGTCAGTATGGGCTTATAGTGGAAGATATCTCGCAGTACCTAAACACAAATCACACTCTTACATTTGATCACACAACCTATAACAATTGTGAGCGTGAAGTGAAAATTCCCTGTATAGTAGTGGGATGTTAGTCAATGTCCCTGAAAGATAGAGGATGAATGTGAAATAAGAATTAAGACAACGTAATGCTGCATCTGTGAAAACATGGCGCTAAGATTGTGGGTATGTACTACCTTATAAAGAGTGTCAGTGAATCGAAGGTCCGTTTTGCCAGTCAGCTCAAGTCCAACCTCCATCAGTTGGTTAGCAAAAGGTGGAGAGAAGGAGGTGAGGGTGAAGCTCACAATAGGTAGGAAAGCGGAGGGATCCCCTTTGGAAAGGCTAGTGGAGAACCAAAGAATGACATGCTAGATGGTGAGAAAATGTGCGTACAAGGAAAGATAGAATCTGATATTTAATGTCCACTGCTCAAAGTAGTTGTGATGGCTCATAAAAGTCAGTGCTTACATCAAGATCACACACAGGAGTGATAATGCAGAGAGGCAATCACATCCTGCAGAAACCAAACCTGAGCATGAATGATTATTTACTGATTCTTTACAGTCGAATGTCGAGGAGTGTAATATTAGCGTACCATATGCCAGCAGCAGGGTGGGGGGCCGAAGGGTCCCATTTTCCTGCTGCTTGCTGTGTAATAAACCTGCTCCCTATCATTTATGGAATTATGGAACCCTTTTGATAACTTATTCTATGTACATTGTATACCCATAAATCCAAATGTATTAAAGCAAACCCTAAATGTGATGTAGTTAACAATGAGTTTCTTTATTTTTTCAAAGCACTTAAATTAATGAAAAACTAAAATTCAATTAAACTGTTAAGCATGATTGAAAAATACGGTTTATGTAAAAAGGACTAGCCCCTTGTTGTATGTACTTAACTTTATTACTTTGATGTCTTCTGTATGCACCAGAAAAGTTTTCATTGAAGACTCCGAAAGCCATGTTGTTGGTACATGCCTTTTCCAATAAAGAGCTTTAAAATAAGAAAGATAAACCCTGCTCACTGACCGCTGCTGGAGACATGCTGACGTTAGCGTTGTGATCTTAAACTAGCTTCGTTTAATACAACCTTGTGATGAGACGTCAACGTTACAGTATGACGGTTTTAAAGGTTTCTGCTAGACTGGTGTGAGTTGAATTGTTACCCATTATAGTCCACATGTCCTGGGTACTTTATCGTCCGCAGGAGAGTTTCCAGTTTACGAAGAAAAGCATTGACATCTCCATTCGACAGCATCTTGCCTGCGAGAGAAAGAGAAACGTTAAACTAAAAGTCTACACACAGTAGACGACATACAACTGCTAAATACTTAGCATAACATTTCAAACACTTTTCTTCATGTGCAAACAAATACAGTAGTTAAAAAGGTTGCTGTAACCTACCACTCATTAGTTTGTTTTGCCGGGTGATCCCCCGCACCAATGCGATTGGCTATTGCGCGGCAAGTCTTTACACGTACTGTAACGCGTTGACGTCATTGGCGTAACCTGTACGCACACAGCTTTCAGATTTTTTGTTTTAGTTTATCAGTTTGTCATCGGCTGCATCTCACTTCGGTTAAATGGGATCCTTGCGTCCCTCACTTGCGTCGTTTCCATATACTTGTTTGACATAAACTGAGGAGTGAGTCCTGTGAGTTTCATGTGTTTTCTTCACTCCGCTGGTAAACTGCTCTCATGTCAAGAAGCAACAGATCACTGCATGCGCTGCATCGTCCAATCAGTGAGCGATACACAGTAAGGGGGCGGGGCGAGTGTCTGAGGATCTCACCGGAGGATGGTCTGGTAGTTCCTCGATTATCGCTCCTCCGTTATCACTCCTCGATCCTCGATCCTTGATCTTCGGTCCTCCGACAAAAATAAGGACGGTACTCAAGATGGCGCAGACAAAGCAACTTCCGGTGACACCGAGCCCGAGGAGCGAGGAAATGAAAAATAACCGAAGTGAGACACACCCATCGTCAGTGCGGATTTACATAGAAAATGCATGTGTCTGACTCATTGTAAAATCTCAATATTCCTGCAGGATACAGTGTGTTGAAGGTTGAAGTGACTCATGGGCCGTTTCTCAATCGCGAGGAAACTGGCTTCCAAGTATGGGCTCAGAACAGTCTCATAATACACACACACACATGGATTCACACTTGTATTTCATGATCCGCAAAAGGATTCACACTTGTATTTCCGGATCCACACTTGTGTTTTTCAATGCACACACAAATGTGTTCCGTTTCATATACATGTAAATAAAATCCAAACACAGAAAAAAGTTTTACATATGTATTTTTTATC